ATATATATATATATCAACCGACGTAGGTGGCGGACAAATTCATATTGCGCACATTGCCATGTAAATGTCCTGCAAATACTGATTACATATTGGTGAATAGCATAGTGACATGTGCAACCAACCAGAGCAACTACTAGGTAAGGTATATGTGCCGACGACCCAAATGGAAGAGCACTGAATGAATTCAAGTTCACGTCAATATCGGTAGTAAAGAAGTAGTATTGTGTAACATCATATGGTAGATCGAAGTGGTAAACATGTGTTGTATGTGAAATTTGTATTGGTGTATGTGCAGCATATAGTGATATGTGTGAAAGATGTAACAATATATGTGCAGCGCATAGTGATGTTTGTGAAAGATGCAAAAATGCATGTGTAGCATATTGTAATGTATGTGAAGATGCATATATATGTGCAGGGTAAAGTGATGTATGTGAAAGATGCAAAAATGCATGTGTAGCATATATTGATGTTTGTGAAAGATGCCAAAATGCATGTGTAGCATATAGTACTATATGTGAAGATGCAATAATATTCGTGCAGCGTGTAGTGATGTATGTGAAAGATGCAAGTATGTATATGCAGTGTATAGTGATGTATGTGAAAGATGCAATAATATTCGTGCAGCGTATAGTGATGTATGTGAAAGATGCAAGTATGTATATGCAGTGTATAGTGATGTATGTGAAAGATGCAATAATATTCGTGCAGCGTATAGTGATGTATGTGATGCAAGTATGTATATGCAGTGTATAGTGATGTATGTGAAAGATGCAAGTATGTATATGCAGCGTATAGTGGTGTATGTGAAAAATGCAATATGTATATGCAGTGTATAGTGATGTATGTGATGCAAGTATGTATATGCAGTGTATAGTGATGTATGTGAAAAATGCAAGTATGTATATGCAGCATATAGTGATGTATGTGAAAGATGCAAGTATGTATATGCAGTGTATAGTGATGTATGTGAAAAATGCAAGTATGTATATGCAGTGTATAGTGATGTATGTGAAAAATGCAAGTATGTATATGCAGTGTATAGTGATATATGTGAAAGATGCAATAATATTCGTGCAGCGTATAGTGATGTATGTGATGCAAGTATGTATATGCAGTGTTTCGTGATGTATGTGAAAAATGCAAGTATGTATATGCAGTGTATAGTGATGTATGTGAAAAATGCAAGTATGCATATGCAGTGTATAGTGATATATGTGAAAGATACAAGTATATATATGCAGCATATATTGACGTATGTGCAAAATGCAAAAATGTACAGAAATACACATGTATGTGGAACATATAACGATGTGTGCCTTGGATTGAATTATATATATACATATTGTGCAATACATATTGATATAACGTTTTTGCTTTTAATACCTACCATCGCACGTATGATTGTCAGCATTTAGTGTGTAACCAATGTGGCATTCACAATCATGTGAATGATATCTATCATTGCAAATATGTTCACATCCACCATTCTCATTATCACATTCATACTCGTGCTCATGTCCTGAAAATCAAACAAATGGTTAATGACCAATGGTTTAGTATTTTAAAAATGGCTCAAAATTAACTCTTACAATAGCGTTTTTTAACAAATATAAATTGCTTCAATGTTTGGTGACATATTTTACAATGTCAATTGCAAGCATATTTTAACATATAAACACACAGCAAGCGATTTTCAAACTCCGGTTTCAGCAAATGCGCCACGCCACTGCATAATATTTGTTCGCACGCATATAAATCCAAATATCATGGTCAGAACAACCTACATCAGTTAACCGCACATGTAGCCGTTGTGCTGCATTGTAACATACACACTACTCGTGCGATTGTCAGTACTAATATCTAAACCCGTCTTGTATTATTTGCCACCAGTTGCACTTACTTCTGTAATCGATACAAGAGGGACATTCACAATAGGCAGGCCCGTGGCCGCAATGTCCATCAGGTCCACAACAGTGATTATGAGAACTGTGTGGGCTACACTCGGCCGGATCTCCATTAGGCATTGGATAAAGTGGACCGCAATGTTTGTCATGTCGCCAGGGACCTTCGATAAAAACATGTAATCATAAATTAATTTGTAGAAATATCAAGTTATCTGTTTTTTCAATTAAATAAAAAAAAATGAGTCGAAAAATTATTGTTCAGCAACTTAATGCTATTTACAGTTTCCCCATTATATAACTTATTTTTTTCGATTTGTGATATAGAGTTCATTGTAAGTTTACTCACGTCCGCTACGACAGGTATGTCCATCGAGCTGTAGGAAATAGCCGAAGTGACACTCACAGAAATAAGAGCCATGCGTGTTTATGCATACATGATCACAGCCTCCATTTTCCACATCACACTCGTTGACATCTTCACATTAACGGAGAATAAAATACTACTTATTAGCATATTTCATATTTCTAAATAATTATGCAAATACTATACTGACGATACTACAAAACAATAACTGTTTGTGTTCAAAAGGTGTACAAATCACGCGTAAATATGCATTAAATTTTATTGTCGGCAAAATTTAGTTTGAAGCCTTTGACTTGTTAAGTACAACAGCTACGATATTAATCGCATTGCTAATAGCCGAACATATCCGAGCAGTTACAATGTTTCAGAAAAGTCAGTCAAAAAATCACAAGCGGGTTCTTTGTTTGACGAGCGAAAATGGACTTTATTACAACATCAAAGCATTTTTCATTATGATTAGTCTGGTATGCAGACCAGACTTTTGAGTTGTTTCTGAATGGCCACTATGACCCTCTATTTTCAATTTGGACGAATGCTTCACTTTTGTTGCCACAGCAACCGAGAATATGCCAGACATAGAACATTAAATCCTTCCCAGGTTAATTAGCGCGCTCTTAAAGCAGTAATTAAACAGTACTACATGACGGGGGTTATTGTAGTAAAACAAAATAATTCGCGAACGCTGTGACTTTCATATTTGATCTTTCGCCGAGTTACTCAAAATTAAAAGGTCTTTTAATTAAGTTTTTAATTAAATGGTCAAAGTAGGCAAACATAGACAATAATATAACATAATCATAACCATTAGCTATTTTCCAAAACAAATTCTCGTCTTTATCGATTCAACTTGGAAATCCGATCACATGTGAAATTTAACAAACAAAACAGTCACAAAACAATATACTTTTAATCATTTCTGAAAATAACCAATGATTACAGAAAATTCCCAATACAAAAATGTACTTTATTTAAGGTCAAATCGTGAGCAACTTAAGATCGAGTTTCGGAGATTTTCACTCAAGCTACATTTTTTCACTTCTCAACTAATAAATATTTGGTTTCATAGAGCAAAAAACACACATTAAAGTGCGGAGTCGTCACCTGCGAATTCAACAGACGGTCATATAGCGTATCGTTGTATAGAAATGCACGTGTACCCATGAGCCTTTGCGTGTTTTAGCGTGAGTTGTTATCGTTGCTTGGGACTCAATTCCTTGAGACCCACACATTTTAACTGATTTTATCGTGTGTGTGTTGGGTTGTAAATTGTTTTATGATTTTATTTAGAGTTATATTTTGTATTTGTGGATTGAATTTTGGTGTTGTCTGAAAATAAAAGTTAAAATACGACAATGCTCTCACCTCTATAATCGATACAGGTCTCACAGTGACAAGAGTTAGGCCCGTGTCCGCAATGGTTATCAGGACCACAGCAATGACCGTGCGCACTGTCAGGGTTACATTCTGATGGATTTCCATCGGGTAATGGCCAAGGTGGTCCACAATGCTTATCAGCTCGCCATAAAGCTAGAAATTAAATATTATGATTGATAACTAATAATCATTCACTCACAGACAAATACACTGTTCCATACAATAGATGAGGTTTTGCAGTAAACAGTTTCACATACGATTACTTGGCAGTTTACGTCGACAAAATGTCAATCACCTCGTCTTTCAGTTTAGCAGCTTTCTAATTTGCCCAAAACTGAATGACACATAACCGATATAAATAAATATAGATATACATCCTAGTAGTTAGCAAAGTATTAGGAAGTATTACTTACCAAAGCATGAATGTCCGTCGTTTGCTAGACCGTAACCAGGGTGACAATGACATACATAGGAGCCTTGAGTGTTCTCACATATCTGTTCACAGCCACCGTTATTATTTAAGCACTCGTTGATATCTGGAATGAAAATCCAAAAACATGTATTTAAGGATTCAATTTGACATGCAAAGCGTACATAATAATGGTGTGTACCGCTGTCTTATAATAGTGACAGGCAGTGAACTTACCACTATAATCAATACAGTCTGGACAATAGCAGTGTTCATATCCATGTCCACAGTAACCCTCGTCTGAACAGCAATGATAGCTGGAACTCAGAGGATCGCACCCGGCTGGCTCCCCATTCTCCAGTGTATAATTGTCTCCGCATCGGTAGTCCTCCCTCCAGTAAGCTGAATTAAAATTATAAACAAGGGAATGCATTATGTTTCACATTGTCAATACGTCATAGGTTTTGAAAACATAATTATTTAATTTTTCCATAATTTTCGTACGAAAACAAATTAGTGAAACTTACGCAGACACCGGTGTCCGTCATTACTTAAGAAATACCCAGGTCTGCATATACATTCATAGGATCCAATGGTATTTATGCAAGCATGTGCACATCCTCCATCATACTCGTCGCATTCATTTATATCTGATTAGAAAAAAAATCGATTTTGTTATCGGGAAAAAATAACTATAAGAAGCAGCTCAGTGACCACCCAGTAATTTGCAGCAATTGGTGAACCCTTCTATATCACGACACGTGTTGTAATTACATGAAAAGTAAAAACAAAACAAAGCAAAAAAAAAAAAACATTGGTTTTCGGATTGACTTGTCCCACCGCACAATTCATTACCAACGAACATTACAAACTACCATGTCTGACAGAAACCCAGAATCATCTTTACCAATCTCGTAGTATGTTGATAAAAACTTTCTATCCATATCGTTTCACAGCTCAAATAAATACATAGATATCTAGTAAATACCTAAACATGTCTCGCCATCTAATTGTAACATGTACCCATCGTAGCACGAGCATGCGTACGAGCCGTCTGTGTTCGTACATATTTGATCACATCCACCGTTATCATCTTCACATTCGTCGATGTCTGAAAATAGTTGAAATATACAATGTGACCCATCCACTGTATTTCAAAAAATCTTACCAAAGCAGTGGGAACAGTAAACTTGCACATATACTAAACACTGTTTCTCACACATTATTGTTACTGTTATCCTCATAGTAACGTTTACACCCGGAACCGTGTACATAAATTGTATGTTTTTTATTTACATTCTTAAACCGAACACATATTTGTAGGTATCGTTCGTATCGTTTGTTATTCTAGAAGCATACAATTGTACATATTGACACTTACGTGAATTGTCTTCATTCACATAATGTAAAGTCGATATCAAGGGGAAGGATATGAAATCAGAAGGGTGGACGGATCCTACTCAACTTACCCTCACATGTATGGTTATCATAATTCATAGAATACCCATCCTCACACCAACAATAATACGATCCAGGTAAATTGTGGCAATTGTGGTTACATCCTCCATTTTCTTGTAGACATTCGTTTACGTCTGTAACATAAATATGTAAATTAAAACCATTGCTTATTCTAAATAAAAATACTAAAATTTCATCAATAATTATAGGGTTTCACTTGAAACTAGGTGCAATATAGACCGCTCTTGTCGCTATGGTTTCATACGCTTAAAGCAGGAGGGTCGTCACCTGCGCACGCGCGGAAATTGAGTTCCAAGCGACAATAACAACACACGCTAAAAACGCAAAGGCTCGTGGCTAGACGCTTGTTTGTAAACGATGACACGTTATGGCCATCTGACGCATGCGCAGGTGACGACTCTCCCGCTTTAATCCATAGCTAATACTAACAAAGCAGCCATCGATACGATGCATTATTCATAACGTACATTACTAATAGTGTTACAGAACCGCTATTGTCATAGTTAGTAACATTATGGTTTATAGTTACTTACCAGTACAATTATGTCCGTCTTCTTCTAGTACGTAGCCATGTTCACAGTCACACACATACGACCCGTCCGTGTTGTAGCATATTTGGGCACAGTCACCATTGTTATCTTGGCACTCATTATCGTCTAAAACATAATGAGCAGTTAATTAAACGCATGACGTAATGTCAATTGTACCTAACACACTGATGTAAACTAGTTTATCACTGAACAATCACAAGGCGCCTGTGCGGCGTATAGATAGTACACATCTACGCTACATTGTGTTCGGCTTCTTCTAATATATCTAACTACAAAAACCTGTGCTATCCAGTGTCCGAATTATTGAATGTTAAGCGGCTAAGCATTATACGGCAAATATATTCATATATCGCCTGCAGTGGCAAAATATAACAGCATCAAATAAATCACTTTCACAATAAAACAATCACGTATAAAACAGAATAATGCACTACTCACCGTCACAACTGTATCCATCCGGATTGATTGTGTAACCTGGATTACACTGGCACACGTATGAATCGTGCGTATCATGACAAATGTGCTCACATCCACCATTATCATCTAGGCATTCATTGATGAGACCTGAACAGACAAAAACTCATCATCAACGTGTTTTGTAATTGTACGAAGTTTTTCAGGGGTACTATTTACACATAAGAACAGCTGCACTGGTTAATGACTTTACTTACCACTATAATCGACACAGTCTTCACAAGAACAATAGTAACTACCATGTCCGCATAGTCCATTCGGTCCACAGCAATGGTGGTATGGATTTTGGGGGTCGCATTCCGCTGGATCTCCATTTGGAAGCGGATGAAGGGGTCCACACCTCTTGTTTTCCAGCCACAGAGCTTCATTGTGCGGGAAAAAAATATATATACATACTTAACATCAATCGAATGAACGATGGGGATATAAAATATACTTTATTGTTTGTAGCATCGTGACTTACCCACACATGAGTGGTCGTCGTCATCGAGATAGTAACCAGGATAACAATGACATTCGTATGAACTTGGAGTGTCTTCGCATATGTGTTCACATCCTCCGTTATCCACGTCACATTCATCAACTAAAAATGATACATTTGTTATTTGCTTTACCTGACATCTTGGGCTGCATTGGCTTAACCCAAAATAAATATAACGGAAGATGGAATCGACAAAATATATATGTGATATTACACGTTTTATTGTTTAAAGCTCTCCATGCACACATGGAATAATATATATGTATGCTAATATCATAAAACTCTAACCTCTATAGTCAAAGCATGTTCCACATTGACAATATTGATTCCCATGGCCACAGTGCCCATTTGGTCCACAACATGGATCGGCACCAGTCGGATCACACTCTCCCGGACTGCTGTCAGGTAACGTGTGATGTGGTCCGCATCTGCCGTCATGACGCCACGTGACTTAAAGTATAAACGCATATACTTATTAATTATGTAGATTGTAGGTTAACTAAGATGCAACATTTATAAAAAAAAAAATGACGACATGTTTAAAGGAGGAATATTCTTACCGACCAGGGAACATGTATAACCATCAGCATGTAGTAAGTAACCTGGGTAACAATGGCACAGGAAGGAACCTTCAGTATTTTCGCATATTTGGTCACAACCTCCGTTATCCGTAGCACACTCATTGACATCTGTTATGCGATACATATTATAAAACATGTTGTTAGCGACAATTAAAAAAACGTCCAGGCCACACACATGGACATTCCAGCTACACATATGGATATCCTAGCTGAACATATGAATATCCTAGCTACAAACATGAATATCCCAGCTACACATATGGGTATCCTAGCTACACATATGGATATCCTAGCTACACATATGGATATCTCAGCTACACATATAAATATCCTAGCTACACACATGGAAATCCTAGATACACATATGGATATCCTAGCTACACACATGAATATCCTAGATACACATATGGATATCCTAGCTACACACATGAATATCCTAGATACACATATGGATATCCTAGCTACACACATGAATATCCTAGCTACACGTATGGATATCCTAGCTACACATATGGATATACACATATGTATATCCTAGCTACACACATGAATATCCTAGCTACACATATGGATATTCTAGTTAAACATATGGATATACACATATGTATATCCTAGCCACACACATGAATGTCCTAGCTACACATATGGATATCCTAGTTAAATATATGGATATACACATATGTATATCCTAGCTACACACATGAATATCCTAGCTACACATATGGATATCCTAGTTCAACATATGGATATACACATATGTATATCCTAGCTACACGCATGGATATCCCAGCTACACATATGGATATCCTAGTTAAATATATGGATATACACATATGGATATCCTAGCTACACACATGAATATCCTATCTACACATACGAATATCCTAGTTAAACATATGGATA